TATATAAATGATATTTGTACTCGAATGAAAATTATTTAACGTAAGTGCATCAAAAATTTTCTCAAAGACTTTTTTTTAATAACCGTCGTTGAACAGCCGACCCAATTTTATGGGTTTACGACTGCTAATGTTCAACTCCGTAGCCTTGTAATTTTGAACCCAATCCAGAAGACAAGGGAACTTCTGGATCGAGTATAGGGAGAAATTTGCCTTCGTGGAGAACTTTTTGATAGAGCTAACCAGCATTTGCGTTACATGGAGAGGAAGACCACGAGAACCTCCCACGGTTAGCCTGACGGCGAGGGGACTCTAACCCATGCTCCATCTACCACTAAGAATATTTCACGTCAGCACTGCAGTCGGCACAAACATTGTTTCAAATTATTCAAATCAAAATTTTTTACACAAAATATACTGTTTTTACAATGTTTCGACTACAAAATAGTGAATCGCGCTTTATTTAAATTCTTTTAAGTTAGATGTAATATGATGAATTAAAGAGGAAAAACAGCGAGTTTTGCAGTTCTACGTTATTTCTCATTGAATAATAAATATTTTTTTTTGCTACATTTGTTATGAATCGTAGTAGATTCAACACGGTACGTACTATGCACTATTTTCAAAATTAGCTATTCCAGGACGTGTCATAATGTGTAATAAATAAATTCTTCATTCATAAAGTTGTTTTGTTCTAAAATTTAAAAAAAAGGTATATTTCATTTTTTTTTTTTTTATAATGGTTGTCTTAATTATATTTAAGTAGAGCAAGTTATACTTTTGCAGTTAGCTTTTTTTTTCCAAATTTGGAACATTTGTAGTGTTCTAAAATATTACCCTATTTTCGTTCAGTTTTTCCTTTTTTTGTTAAAGCTGGCTACAAGGTTTGCACTATTGTTAACCGAATCGTCTCAAATGCGGTCATTTACAATTTTCATTTAAGCAATAAGACGTTTCTATATATTGTGCTGTAATATATTCTTCGACTGTTGCTCTAAATTACAAAAAATTCATGATTTTCTCTGCAGCATTTATCAGAGACTAGTTATGTTACCATGATTACGTAAAGTTCTTTAAAAAAATTTTAAATTTTATTGATTTTATGTTTATAAATTAACAACTTTAAACGATAGAAAAAAATAATTTTTATTGATGCACAGATCCTAATTATGATTTTTTTTGGGAAGTGATTAAAAATACTTTTTAAGTGCTTAAAAAGTATTTAAAAAGCGCTTATTTTTTGTTAAAAAATCTAGCTACTCACCCTAATATTATAATATTTTCGTTTAATTACAGTTTTAAACAGAACAAAGTTTTTACTTTCATGTAAAAGGAGTCTATGCAATAGTTATTTAAGTTTTCATATTATCGAAATGGAAAGATAGTGTTGATTTAAAGAGTTTTATTTTGCCTGACAAACTACCGCTTATATTGCAAAAAACTCAAATTATATCATGGTATTAATTTGTATACAGAAAAAAAGAACAATAGTTAAAAAAGCGTAAATTTTAATATAATAAAATAGAAAAGTATTTCATGCACTTCTAGTAATTTTAAACTTCACATTACCTTGTTTTTAAATAGAAAAGATCATTGTTAGAATGTTAATTATTTTAAAAGCAACTTCCTGCTTACCCGTTAGCTCATAGCATAGAAAAATAATCAGTATTTTATGTAAATTTATAAAAGATTAGAGATAAAAACTTAGTTGAAAAAGGCAATACCTGACTTTGCAAATGCATTCATTCATTTAGAGTTTTAACTTATGACTTTTGTGAACCCATTCTAAATTTTTCGTAACACTGTGTACCAATAATAAAGAAATTAATGTTTTTTTTACTAAAAAGAAAATTGCACAAAAGTTAAAAATCACAACTGGCTGTTGACACCACTAATTATTAACTGTTAACTCTGCAAAAAAGTAACCAATAGAAAAATACGTAATTGTAAATTTCCACGGCTTGCTTTGCTTTTGAATTAAAACTTTTGAAATTTTCGTTTGTTGCAAGATATTTGGAATAAGAACGCGTAACCCCGCTAACCTGTTGCCTTACCCCTGGGGGTACGCGTACCACACTTTGGGAAACACTGATTTAGAGTGATGAAATCTTGTATTCCTGCATTACTTTTAAACCAGTTTTTCATGCTTTTGTAAATTTATTTGAGGATAAATTTACAGCTTTTCCAAATTTAACTTTGTTTTTATTGTTTGTTACATCTTTTTATTGATACGAATCCCCCTAACTTATTCATTTTGTAATAATATTCATTAGTATTTAATATAACAATGACGGCTGACCGTCAAAAACTGTGGAACGCATGTCAAAATCTTACTAATCCTAGTTTTAATAATATCTTTTGTTTTTAAACACAAAAAAACTAAAAATTTAAATTTTTCGATACAACTTTGCATTAACCAAATTTAAAACAATAATTTTTCTCTCATTTACTCTGCATAATATCTATATCTATGATATATCTATATCTATAATATATCTATATAATATATCTCTTTAATATATCTATAGCTTAGAGTAAATGACATTTTCCTCTCTAAATGTTTAGAACTCTTACCATGCAGCCTATAAGACTTTGACATATCTGTATCATGTGCGTCGCAAGGGTCCAAGGGGGGGGGGCACGAAATTACAATATGCAGTCACAATAACTATCTAAATTCCACCCATTAAAAAAAATCCTTATGCCTAAATATATCAAAAAGATTAATTTTTCATATCTATCTCGTTTTTAACTTTGATGAATTTAAATCGATGATAATGATTCATGAAAATTGTCTTTATTTGTATGAAATATTGAGTTGAACTTTAAGAGATTTCAAATTATTTAGGGAGACTCCCACGCCATCGTGACCCATTACTATATCATCCGCATTAGCAAGAAACTTCAAATCATCATTGTTCCCAATCACATAATCATGTAAAGTCTTTGAAAATTATTTTGCATTTTGTTAATGCATATAGTGCTTAAAAATATTTTTTCAGTGCTTAAAAAGTACTTAAAAGGTGTTTATTTTTTGTTGAAACGTTTGGCTACGCTACCTGTTTTACACATAGTGGTTTTAAATATCATTTTCACTAACTTTTTCAATTTAGATGGTATTTCAAACTCCTCCATAACTTCAAATTATTTATCTCTGATTGATACTAGCCATTGTCCCGCAGTGGACTGATCGTTAAGACACGTTCCCAGCAGATCCCCGAAGTCAAGCATCACTGGCTACGGTCAGTGTGCGGGTGGGTGACCACTTGGATCAGTCTGCTTAGGGACCGAGGGTGTGCGGTATTGGTCCTCGTTAAACTGTGCTACCGTAAAGTGCTCGACTTCGCGCGCAGGTCGTCGGGCTACCGAAGCGGGGGTGCCATCCCCTCCGCAGAGGATCAAAATTGTGATGGCATGTCTTCGGATCATCCTCCGGGATGTTTCCCAGACCGTCGCCAATAGCCCATTGTGCAGCTCTAGTGCGACGTAAATTAACAACAATACTAGCCATTAGCATCGAAGCTGCTCAGTTTTTGAAGGGGGTGAAATTAAATTACACAGTCACAATAGTTCTCTAATTTCGTTTTTTTCTTAAATGTCCATAATACCTAAGAAAACGAAATTATTTTTATATATTTATTGTTTTCAACTTTAAGGATTTTAATTGGATAATTCACGAAAATTTTCTTTATTTGTTTGAAAGACTGAGGGGCACTTTCTAACTATTAAAGGGGGCATAATATCAAGATTCCGATCTACCAACGACCTCCATGATATCATCACATGCTTGTTTAAAGTCTATAAGCAAATGGTGCATACTAATGTCAAATTCGTGGCATTTCATAATTCCTCTACAGATATATTTATCTTTCTTTTTGTGAATGTGACGAATGATAGCATAGTTACATTCAGTGAACATAATTTCATTTTTTCGTTACATCAGTTGGAAAACTATGGATAATAGTACTTGTCTAACATTTTGGCTGGAGTTGTGGTGGCTCAGGGGATAGAGCATCCGCATTCCAACGAGGTGAACCGGGTTCGAATTACAGCGATGGCTGTTGACTGATGGCTATGCGTATTCCTAACGTATCCTTATGTTCTATACCCACCGACCACAGTGCTAACATAAAATATCATCAGTGGTAGACGGATCATGGGTTAGAGGCATGTCATCGATCCAACAGTGTTAGGTTTTCATGGTTTTCCTCTCCATGTAACGCAAATGCGGGTCAGTTCTATCAAAAAGTCCTCCATACAAGAAAATTTTTCCTAAATACTTGATCCAGGAGTTTCCTTGTCTTCTGAATTGGGTTCAAAATTACAAGGCTACGAGTCGAGAAAAGCGAATTGAAAACTTTTTGCACACAATTATAAAATTCGTTTTTCCAAAGATAATTCCATGCAAAATATAACTTATAGTAAATATTTATTTTTTTAACATTTTATTTAATAATGGTCCGAAACTTTTGAATTGTAAGGCATACAGTTCTTTGCGTCATTTTGACGAACATAATTTTACATGATAAAATACAAAATTTGAGCAAAAATTGGTCGAATATTTCCTGGGAAATCGAATTTTAAGTATTTGACTTTTTTGAAATTTAATTTCTTATGAGCTATTCTACCGATTTCGCTCAAATTTTGTATTTTATCATGTTAAATTATATTCTTTAAAATGATGCAAAAAACTGTACACCTTACAGTCTTTTTCGTCTATTATTAAATAAAATGATAAGAAATAAATATTTACTAAAAGTTATTTTTCCATGGAATTATCTTTGGATATACGAATTTTATAATTGTGTGGAGAAAAAAAATTTCAATTCCCTTAAAAATTTCGCGATATACAGCGAAATACGTAAAGAAATAAAATTAGCATTAAGGGGTTAAAATTTATGAAAGCTCTCCTGACCACACTATTGGTCA